CCTTATTAACAGCATTGAGCTTCCATGTTGATTTACATAAACATGTTTACGACTGATTTAAGGGGCAAAAGATTTACGATGAACAATAAACTGCGATGGCCCTTGAATTTACTGCGCCTTCGGTTTGAACCTTCCACAAAATTTCAATCAAAGTAGGCCGTTTGGTTTTTTTTCTTCTCTCTCACCCTTTCCATTTGCTTAATATATTAATCTATTCCCTTTTATCCATTTCAGATTATATCAGACCTTTGCTGTATCACTGCAGTGGCGTCCTCTACAGTTAAGTGTCGCCACCGTGTGATTTCTGGCAGAAGACAGAGAATTAATCGCTAAATCATGACGTTCCTGTCCGCTGCGTGTTCTTTTTACTTTTAAGGCATTTGACTGACACTTCTACACAAGAGGGAGTTACAATGAAAGCTGCAAACAGTCGTCAAACTGTCATCTCCCTCTCACGCCTTTGCTTTTACACTGAAAATATTTCCAGGCCGCCCACAATGGCGAATGTTACAATCACGTTAATTATTAATGATTACATAATCTAAAATGCATTTTGCTGCCTAAACATAGCTGACTGTGTATATATGTGGCTAATGTTGAGTCTTGCAGTGTGTATTAAGATGTATGAGCCCTTTATAATCACTAGACATCCGGTAGTGCAGTCGATGCTACGGCACAGAATTTATCAATGATGACTGCTGTGCTGGATATGAAAAATATTTGCATTGCTGCCATTAGACTGAGCCAAGCCAGTGATTCTGAGCTCTTCTGTCCTTGACACAAGTGTTGCCTTCATGCAGCATGTCTAGGATTGTTTGATGTGAGAACATTGCCCCCTGCTGATTCCCTTTTGTACACTATCACAGGACTCCACGAGTCAGGCTGACTGACAAGACATGTGGGATGGGGGTCACTCAAATGCTACAGAGCGATCACTATTTATTTTTTTTGGTTCACTCTACTCTAATGTCACAACTCTGGTGTGAGCAGCAAATGTATCATGTTCTGGATAGGCTGTGCATATATGATTGGACTGCCGACACCAAAGCGGTTGGCGACATCACGTAGAATAAAGTTTGAGCGGTCTAAATAATTCACTCATATTCTAAATAAATATTCATTACGTAACAAAAACATACTAATTGATTCAGCGCATCCTTATTCTCACCGCTGCATTAAAGCCCCTGAAAATTCAAATCTTAAATATTTCTCTATAATGTTAAATATTCATTGCTAAATAAGCAACATTCAAAGTTCAAGTTTTTTTTGGGGGGGGAAGGTGTTAGCATTTTAAGTTTAAAGCTTGAAAACTCCGAAAATCTGTTCCATCAGGACTGTGCGGGTGTGGTTTTATCAGATTTGATTGACAGCTGCCTGACAGCAAAGGTAAACAACTCCTGAACTGTCATCACCTTTAGATTCAAACATTTCTGAATCCTGACTGATTCTAACTGAGCCCCGCTTGCTTCAAGCCAGTGAGAAGAGCACAGAGAAAATAGACAGATAATGAAACTGAATTGACACTTAAAGCGTATATATTCAAAATTCACTGCTGCTAGATGTTGCACTAAAGCACCAGCATCAATAGTAGCAAGGATCCCTACAAAGATGGACCTTCTTGTTCTAGAGTAGGATCCTTTTTGTTTCACCAGAAACAGCCGATATATATTGCTATTGCTCGCCACCAGACAAAAGTGGAAATTTTACCTCGCAGATCATCGTAACCTAAACTTCCTTGAAACAGGAGAGAAACAAAAATAAAACTCACTAAAACCATCTTTGTTACTCTTTCCACTGTTTCAACAATCACCGGTTCTGCTTTGCTCGAAATAAATCCTTCATTCACTGACGCAGATGAGAAAACAAACAGCTGTTTCAGTCGCTCGACTCAAAGCCAACAGTTTTTACATTGTGGGACTCACACGCACCAACATGCACACGAACAATGAGAGCAGCTCGGGGACCGAACACACACAGACGTCATTCTCTGCTCAGGATGATGTTACGCCACTATATCTGTACATGGCAAATAGTTGTGCTGCTATATTAATGTTCTAAATCTTATATAACCTGTCAACCTGTAGCCTGTGTCATTATTTCTGTACGTTGATTTTTAACAAAATATCAGTGTCAATCTCGCTTGCCGCCATTTTTCTGTTGCCAGTTTTTATAGATGTAGCTAAAGGTGGCTAGCTAGTTATCTATGGCACCCCAATGCTTAATCCCGTCCACAAAGTTCTAGACTGGCTATGTGTCACAGCTCACCAAGTAAACGTTTAACTTCGTAAAAATCATTAAGGTTTCAGTTTCATAGAGCAAATGTAGTGGAGGATGCCAAAATAAAAAACAAAACGGTTCTAACTTTGGAATAAAATTGTGTGTTTGTGTATATCTCCTTTCTTTATAGTAAGAAAGTGACTAAGAAAATCTGTTTGAGGGTCTTTAATGATACAAAAGAGGGAACAATAACTGACAATGAAAGCTGAACAGAGCTTGTGCTTTACTGTAAATTATGTGTGTGCAGATGGTTGCTGTCAGAGATAAAGTTCATAAGTTCAAGCATGTGTCACATTTCTAAATACCATGTGGGTCCCATCTCATCTGTCAGCCAGCGTATACTGTATTTCATGAGGAATATTTCACGTCTACTAGTGGAGTCATCCAACATAATGGTTCAAAGATTCAAAATAAACGGGGAAAAAACGCCTGGTGAGAGAAATTGGTATTCTAACAGCAGCCCTGCTTCCAACTGATGATAATCTGTATTCACACAGTCTGCCATGTCAGATGAAAGCCTTCAATTAGCACTCAATTCTATTCAGTATTTCCTATCATGCCACCACTATTTACATTCTCTGTCAGCACCCAAGGCTGCTCCCTGCCCGACAGTTGCAGGAATCACTCCTGGTGAGAATATGAGAAACCCTGCTGTGAACAAAGTGCAAAAAAACAAGTGTTTTGTAGTAATCAGAGTCATGGGCTTCTAATGCCTGACGCTCCCTACCTCGTGGCTGTAGATGTGAGGAGCCATAAGTTGAAGTGTCATCCTTTCAGTCTTAACCCCGGATGAAAAACTGAGACACCAGCGAGGAGATGAAACACCTCTGATGCTTTGATTTGCAGCTTCACGCTGGCGGGGGTCTGCACAGGCCCTCAGCGTGATGCTTGTCCCCTCACCAGGTGTTCTTAGTGAAGATGAGCCGATGATTGAATTTTGCTCTGCTACCTACATGACACCGCTGGATCCACAGTAAATGCATTCAAAACAATACAGTAGCTGCCTCCCAGTTTAATGCACTTAAATAACAGGGCAGGCACATCAGTCTGACTAAGGCTTAAGCTATAATAACATTAGCTTCGTATTTGTGTGGGTGGCATCATGCTATTATTGTGAACTGACAAGCACTGCCTTGAGAAATTCTTTTCGGAGGATAATAAAGCATCAGCAGTGGGCCTCATCTCTTGCAACTCAATAACAAAACTCATACTGAGATGCTGAGGAGCATCTCAGATCCTTTGTGTGTTTGTAAATTGGTCCATGGTGAAGATTTTCATTCAGTGTCATTATTATTAGTATTGTACTGTGGTAGTATGGGGGTCCAGGCACATAAAGGAACATATTTTCAAAGCCAAAAGCAGGTCAGTGGGAGTCCGTTTTCAATGAAAAAGAGTTAAAGGCCAGTCTGCAGAAACCCTGCTACTACTCGACCCATGTGTCTTGCTGGGTCAGCCCAATAGCACTCCAGGTCAGCGGGATTTCTGGAGGACCCCTGCTGGAGGAGGCGAATTGAAACAAAAAATTAAATCCTGTTTCGTGGAACGTGGTGCATTTTTGAAAAGATTATGTAAACACCAAAACACACTTACACACAGATGACACAGGACGAAGGGAAAACATGTAGATGTAACAATATACGAGGAACAAATGCGCAAATTAAAGCTACAACGAGGATTGATCGAATAATTGAAAAGTAAATGTACAGAAAATGAACTAACATGACTTTTTATTAGTGATTCAATGTCAGGGTCGTTTATCAATGCCAGGATGTTTTTCTCTGGTTGTGAACTGAATATGTTTTGGTTTAGGAAAAAACAAGCAATATGAAAAAAAAAATGTCATTATCGACTAATAATAAACCCAAAGATTGGTGGATAATGAAAATAATAATATGTTTTAGCCCTTATAAAAATGACTCTGATTAGGGCTGATAATGTGGTAGGAATAATCGGGCAATCATTAGGAATATATTCCAATATTGATATTTAAGGTACAATGAGGTAAACATGCTAAATCCCATATAAAATAATAAAAATGATGTTCAGATCAATAACAACTGCTATGTATGAAATTAAATCAAAACAATGACATGATAAGAGCATATTGTTCACCATCAGTCCATAAAATATAAAACACACCTCGAAAAAGCAAATACTGCAAATAGATGACCTGCTTTTCCTCTGAATTGTTTCACTGGACCTTGAAATTAGCCTCATGATTAAACCCCCCTCCAAACACACCTTTCCCCCTGAATACTCTAATGAGCCCAATGAAAGCTTAGTGCAAAACACTGAACACACTCAGATGATAAATTAACATTGAAAGAGGAAAATAAATTAAAAACTGCCATAGGAACTGACTGTGGGTTGTTTGGCTTTTTGACAACTCTCAAGTCTTTTTCTCCAGCACAGCCAAGTTTAGCTCAATACCAATGTATACCTAGCATTTTTTTCGCACTGTTTTGAAGCCCTCCTCGTCGTCTTTCACCAGTTCAACCTAACATGTTTGTTTTTTTCCACTGATATCTGCATTGTATGCTTTCGCTAATTCTACTTACTTAGCGTACATTGTTCTCGACTTTGCGCTGGGTGCTGCTGCAGCGGTGCAGACCGGCGGTCGGCGGTCGTCGGCGGCGGGCGGTGTTGCGCTCTGTGTCGCTCCCCGGACAGATTAGAGCACAGGAAGTTGTAAGCTGCTGTTTGCACCAATCAGCTGTGAGGTTACTCGCCCTGCCCAAACAATACAGAAGAAGCAGGACAGGTCGCAGGAAACACAGTATTTTATAACACACAGGTTTTATTTTTGTTTATCAATACAAATACCTTATTTTTTGTTGGGTTTTTTTGCAGTGTTTCTAAAAAAAATAAGCGACGTCGAGGCAAGTATTTTCAACCCTCGCTGAGATGAAGTGGTAGTAACGAAAGCCTTGTTAGCTACCGTTAGCAAGGTGTCAGATGCTAGCTGGGTTAGCTATTGTGCGCTATGTGATAAACCTGCAGCTACCGGGAAAAGTTGTTTTAGAGAAGCCCTTTTTGGGGTCGAGTGGCGTTATACCGATCGGCTGCTGAACGCTTTTGTGTTTTACCTGTGAGTCGACGAGGCAACCAGCCGGTAAAGTCCGATGTGTTTATCCGTTAGCAACCTTGCGTGGTTGAAATCCAAGATAGCACGACGACGTTAAATAGCCTAGCTGCTACATAAACGACAACATCCACCAAACTGGACAAAACTTTGGATTTAGTCGGTTTTAAATCGGGCTCGGCGGGTTCGCTGACCCCCCAGAAGAAGATGAAGAAGAGGAAGGAGTTAAATGCTCTGATCGGACTCGGGGACAGCAAGAGAAAGAAGACCAAGAAGGGATCCGGTCACCGACTTCTCCGAACCGAGCCGCCGGACTCAGAGTCCGATTCGAGCTCGGACGACGACGAGTTCAACAACCTGAGCAGCGGAGCCAACTTTGGGAAGTAAGTAATGAGTTAAATAACGTTTTGTGGTTTGTGTTGTTGTTGTTTTTTTCTGCTTAGTCGGTTACTTGCTGTCGTTGAATTTCCAAATACCAAGTGAAAGTAAACTGGTTAAGATGGTTAAAACAGTTTCTTCTATGTTAGTTATTATGGGTTGTTGTGGAAGATTTGTTGTGTTCTGTGTTTGTTGTTGTGGCATCTGTTGTCTGTGTGGTTTCTTTTTTCTATGTCTTGCATAGATGCCAAATAAAATAGCATCTAAACGGAAGTGTTTGTGTAAGAACAAAAAATACAGTCACCTCCCATCAACTGTGTGAATTCAGTGTATCTGCAAGGGCTGTGGTTTTAAAATATGGTTTAATTGTCTTTTATTTTGTTGTTGATGGTTTTTCTTTGTATATCACTTTATTGCCATTGTAAAGAGTATTAGCTTGTCAGCACATTGGAACCAGAGTGCTTTTATTCTTCACTCAAATGTGCTGAAGAATTACAGTGGAAAACATCTTAAATCTTAAATCAAAGATTGTGTTCTTCAGCGACATATGCTCTGAGACTGAAAGCCCATGTTCCTCTGCCCCCGGTGTACATGACCTATATTGTAGTCAGTGTAGTTGCATATATATAAATAAATATAAATACTGCCATATATATCCAGTTGCTCTTCTTCTGTGCTCAGATTAAAGCAAAAAAAGACACATCTTGCACATTAAGAAGACAGTTAGGCTTTTTTTCTGTAACTTGATGTCAGCCAAATTAGAAATAATCAATACTACATTCAGCATTGAGTGTGATTGATATGATGATATAATATTCTAGCAGCTCATATGTTGAAGCGCCAGTATTTTTCAGTAATCCTCATAATTCCCATGACAGAGCATGCAGTCTTCTGAAAATATCTTCCTCATTAATAATGGAAGAGGCCGTGCAGTTGTAATGTCTAACATTACCATGTTTCTTCTCTTTACAGAAGAAGCTACACGCAGTGCTGCAACGTGTGCTACCCCTTGTTTCTGTTCATCATACTGGCTGCCTGCGTTATGGCCTGTGCTGGACTCATATGGATGCAGATCGCTCTGAAAGAAGATCTAGATGCAATGAAAGAAAAGCTGCACAGCAGTAAGACTCACTGTCACTCATGCACGCACCTTGTGATGGTCATAAAAAGCTCACTGCACCTTGGAAACATAAACCTGTTATATCATCCATTCCTTTGTCTTTAACATATTGTAATGTGTTTGTAACAGTGGAATCCAGCCAGAAGGTGTCGTCAAGTGAAATACCGAAACTAAGTGAGGACCTGAAAAACAAGGAGAGAAAACTTGATGACATTGAAAATGGGGACAAGGGGTTGAGCAAGCTCTGGTCTAACTTAACAGAAATGAACAGAAAGGTCAGTTGTTTTCATCGCTCAGAGGTTTTGAAGCCACGTTAACGTTCACACTATCAGTACCAACAGTAACCAGAGCTCAGTGTTGGAGAATATCTAGTTTCAGTGTTGGTCTAACTAAGAATTGCTTTTCTTCAGTATACCTTTATACTATGTTATATTTTAGTTGAAGAATTACCAGCGGATTACATTAAACGCACTTTTGATACTTTACACCCTGTTAAATATCTAATACCATACAGTAGTAATACAAAAAACAAAATGATTCCAACAGTAATAGTAAACACAGACATTTTTTTCTTGGCTTTAACTTGCATACTAACGTGATGCTGCACAAACTAAGAATGCTGCAACAACAGTGTAACACCAATGCAGTAAACAAAGTCTCCTTACCTTCCAGCAATTACAAGACTAGAATACGAGCTGAGCGAGTATGCATTTGTCTTTGTGTCGCTAAAAAACAAGGTTGCATGAGAACATTTAATCATTTAATCTTACTCTCTGTTCAAGATTATTCTTATTCTGAAATAAGAGCTAGAGCTGGTAACAGACGACTTGCTGGTTGTGACAACTAAACACTGGTATCAGTTTCACATACAGTATTAAAAACAGACAACTTACTTTGTACTGCTCCTGCTGCACAACAGTTTCCCTCAGGACAAATACAGTTCTAAAGATCTTATCTTAAGTTTGCAAACAAGTAAAATATGCAGCATTTTTACTTAACAACCGCCTCTAGAATTGAAATAAATAAAAAAAGTGGCTTAATAAATTGGTAATTCTGTCTTAGAAGTATAACTGAAGGTGGTGTGTCATTTTACTCCTGTAGATCAGTTTGCTGGATTCTGCTGTAAACCATTTGAAGGCCAACTTGAAATCAGCCGCTGATTTAATCAGCCTTCCCACCACAGTTGAAGAGCTTCAAAAGGTAAAGAAAATGTATTTAAAAGAGAAATTTGGTTGAGAATCTTTTAATGTTCTATTATTTTGCACTATGTTCATAACTAACCTCTCAGAGTGTTTTTCTCTTCCAGAGTGTTGCTACAATTGGCAGCACACTAACGAGTGTGCAGCACGATGTGAAGACTATCCAGGCTGCTCTTGAAAATCAGAAGAAGGATGACGACTTGAAGCAGACAATGGTAAATTCAAGCCAGTAACATTTGAAATACTTTCTTATTTTGACAGTTGGTATGATAACATGTTCGGATTAAATAGGATATCTGGCCGTGGGAACCTAAACGCTCCAAATAGGAATCTTCATGTTTACTTTGAGATCATTGTTTAGGCTTTTCGCTTGCACGAGTCTCAGTTTTCCCTCTTTTGTTTAGATCTTTCGTTGTTTATATGTGTTTTTGTCTGTTGGCTTAATTCTAATTCTTTTATTTTATCTGGCCTTGCAGAGTAACTGTTGTGTACTTTAACATTTTATTTACACCAAGTTTGTGTACATTCACTCATCCATTTATGTCTCAGAACAGTTGTGCCTAGTGTTCAGTGTGATAAGTACTGTTTGCAGTGAGAGGCAGGATAGTCTATTAGAATAGCCTTACCTTTCAGAATGATTTTTCAAGCTGCATGCTAAACTACTGAACTGTCGATACAGCGTGTTGGGCAGCTGAAAAAAACACAGAAGAGTTTGAAGCTGTGTTCCTTCGTAAATAACATAGGGCTGCAAGCTCTAGCATTTCACTTGAGCAAAGCCGATGGATTTTTCATGAGTCAAAGTCGAGGTTGGATTTCACTTATTTTGTGTGACAGCTTGTCTTTTTTTATTTACATCTCTACGGTCAGTGCAAATGTTGCTGGCAGTTGCTTTTCTCATTCATTATTTATGTATGAATGTATGGAGAGCGTGTTTACTTAAAATGTAAAAATTGAACTTAACTGCGCCAGTGTCTAATATACTCCCTCCCAGTTCCTAGCTGCAGTGGTGTCTTAGTATATTCGTCTCACTCAGAACTGAGGCAAATCTACTTACATGCGGCCAACATGATTCTGTTGATGAAACGTCGGGTTGCTCTGCTTAACTGTGGCACGAATTCAAACAAGAACCCGTGGCGAACTTTGTCACTGCCAGATTAATTTGTTTATTTGTTTACCCAGCATGCATGGATGCTTTCACAGTTCTTGTCAGGCTTGCATTGAAAGAGTCGTTGGGTTAAGAAGGTCCTGTCATTTCTTGGAGCCTTGCATTGGCTTTTCATTCATAATACATGATACAAGTGCCAATCTATTTTGGGAGCTTAGATGCTTTAGTTTGCTGAGTAAAACTAGGTCAAAGACAACTGCGGAATATTTTTTTCCACTTTATTTTTTTTAAGCAGAATAGGATGGCAAATGAGGATAAGAAAATAATCACACTTTTACATGTTTTTATACAGTGACTTCAATAATTATATGGTCAGTGATGTATTGCGAGCTAGCTGAGATCTCCATAGTCTTTGGATTTTGAGGTACAGATGCAACCAGCTGCAATTGCCAGCTGGTTCATGACAGGCCTTTGCTTATTTGAATGGAATTAATGGTTACATCCATCCAGCTGGTGGCAGCAATTCTGATTGGCTGGTACTGTAACTGTAACTCTACCTGCTTAACCTCTCAGGAGACTGGTCTGACAGGACACAATTGATTTTCCTTATGTGCTGCTTTTGTAAGAGGAACTGGGTGCACGCAGCTCTTACTTTGGTTGAAATATCATAAAACAGCAGTTTGTTTACATTGATTTCTTTTCTTTTTCACCTTTTGTCATAGGACATAACAGACCTGAGAAAAGCTGTGAGTGAGGCGAACAAGACAGAGGAGCTGCACCATACACAGGCGGATGAGCAGATCCACATCCTCCTCTCTACAGTTGCAGATCTTCAACAGAGAGTGTCGTCATTAGAGAACGGATCAAAGCAAAGTGTGAGTCATATGAAGCACCACACTTGTGCTTTGTAAAAGTTCAGCCTTTGCGCAATTGTGATCAGCCTGTTTTTTACCTGTTTTTTTAACATCTATTTCAACCATTCTCCATTACCTTTAGCTTTTAAACTAATTAATTTCAACATCTCTGCATGCTACCTTGTTTTCATGCTGAATGGGATTTTTTTTTTTATTCAAATGAGTTGAGCTACTCCACAATCCTTCTACATACCCCAGAGCAACTGCAGAAGTAACCTAGTTGGGAATCTCTGGCCTAGAGAGTAAAAGACAGCCTATTCCAATTTTACATTTCATCTTTAATCTGCTTCACAGTCCAAGGACAATGACGCAGCAGCTCAACTGCCAACCACCAGTAAAAGTCCAGTAACTGAGGGGGTGAACGAAGCTACTACAACCAAAGCAACACCTGGGGATACACTAGGTACAGTGTAGGATAAAGCAGTATTACTACAGTGGTTTTATTTGCCTTATGTTACGTTTTAATGTTTTTTTTTTCTCCTTTATTTTCACAGAGATATCCACACCACTGACAGAGCCTCAGACAAGCAGACGTCCACGCTTCTTAACTCCAAACCGCATTAAGAGAAGTGCATGGACAGGATGCCCAAAGACTGTGATCCTGCCTGGTGTCGGTTCTCTGAAAGGTGCTTTACTACTATTCCAGAGTTGTATATCTCAGCATTCATTGAAGGAACAGTTCGAGAAAATACATGTATTTGCTTTCTTATCAAGATCTGAACTGCTCTAATGCCTGTTCAGTAAATATTTGGCTATAATATATGAAGTCTCCACTGGTTGCAAAGTGACGACGAGAGTTCCTGCTCCAAGCCAAGAAATACTTGGCACAAAAAAACAGCGTTTGTAAATTTAATCTCTTGTACTGCTAAATTAGATGCTTAAAGGCTGGATGTTTGCTCCATTTACAGTCTTTAGGCCAAAGCCTGATTTAAATGTTGAATCACTGCTGTAGCCTGACCTGCACCTCCCCAGGAATGTAACTACGCTTTGCGGATAACACGGACCACAACAATTGTGATCGCTCCGCTTAGTGTGTGTGCATTGTCTGAGAATGAGAGGCGACTCACACAAAACCCAGATGAGTTCATCATAATGCTGTTTGAGAATCCCTCTGCAAGTGTGTCCTCACACAGACAAACAGGCACATGGGGACGCTGCCTTGCAGCATGACATGCTATTGTCGGTCTTCACGAAACAAGAAAAGCACATGAAAGATTGAGGAGAGACATGGGAGAGTTTCAGTCGCCACTGTTTGAAGTACACAACGAAACTCAACACAGTGGCATAGAAACCCCACCGCCAACTAACGTTTTGGTGGTGTTATTTGCAGAGCATGTATAAATCCTCATACTATAAATATTAAAACAGCAGCTAAGCTGTAGCTCGATATTCAACAGACAGACATGAGCGTGGTATCAATTTATCTGCAAGAAAGCAAATACGTGTATTTTCAAAAATGCTGAACTATTTCTTTAAAGGCTCCAAATTGTATTGTCAATAGTATGGATATTTTAAGTTTTGCCCTCACAGACAAACTTGAATGTTTCTGAATAAAACTATGCTTTTCACAGACTTGGAAGACATCTTCCAGCAGGCAGACATTGGACGTAATTCACTTGGATTGACCTACCATGGCCTGAGTAAAGTATTTGGAACATTCACTCCCAGTGCTCGTACCATGGAGTGTTTTGACAATGACAGGGACCAGAGGTACTCTCTGATGGAGCTGAGAGCTGCTGTAGGTTTGTGAGCACATTATCACTGACAGCAGTGAACAGTATTGAATACCCAGCGGGGTCTGGGGGTTCGGAGATCCCGACCCTTTTCAGTAATTGCTGCACTTTTTGTGAACCGAATATTTATCATACTGATTGTGGAACAGTGGCGCTGGCATGCCCCCTACTCACTCCCCCCATTCCCCTGCCCATTTCAACACCTCTTTCACAAAACATGAGCTTAAATTTTAAAGTTAATCTATATGAGTACCTGTATGCAGAATATTCCGCTCTTATTTTAGCGAATTCCATGGTTAATGTGAAATAAACCGTGGAAATAGGTGTTGTGAATTATTTTGAATCCTGTTTCCCACCTTCAATTCTCTGACTTGCTGGTTTCCTGCACCTGTGTTTTTGTTTGGTTTAGTTTATTTCCAACCAATTTGTCTCCTCTTGATGTAACTTTTTTTTGTGTATTTAGCTTCTCCAGAGGCTGTAATTGTTAGTCCATTGCAGATGTCCCCACCCATTAACACAAACACCTGGTACAACTCATCTGAACCTTATTTATAGGACCTGAGATAGAATGTTATGAATGTTTACAAATGACTACTAGAAACATTTTTTGTGAGTCTTTTGTTTTTAGATGAATTCCTAACTTAAGAGCAAACAATGGGAGCATTAGAGTGAGGACTTAATGTATGCTCTAAACAAGTTTCAGATTTTTTTTTTCTGTTCTGTTTTCTTCCCCTCATTTATCTTCAGTTAGTTGCTACGTTTTGATAGGAGTCGTGTGTTTCGTCCATCTGTACATTAATCTGTATTTTTGCGGTTTTCAGTTCTACAAGTTCCGAAGGGCTATGAACACTTTGAATCATTCAGAAAGAATTTTGAAGTGGTAACTCGTGAGGCATATGTAGCAATAAGAAAATGACATAGATATTGCTTGGTAAAAGATGCAGTAGACAGAAGGCACACCTAGCTCACAATGTGTAACAGGTAGTATAAGAAGCACTGACATCACTCTTTACTTGATTCATTTTATTCCATTTTTATGGGCCTAATAACGGTGTATTTACATAACAGATTTGTCATACTCAAATATTGCTGTATTATGTAAAAAAATGTATTAAACAAATGATCTCGTGAAGGGTCGGGTTGGTAAAATTTACTTTACGGTCTTACTCTCAACCTTGTACATTTTTTAAAAATCTGTTGTGCTTTGCATGTTGCTTATAATGTAACATGAACCGATTATTTATAAACCTAACATAGTCGACTACTTGGTTTTGCAAGACAATTTGTTAGTGGAGCTCAAAATGTAACAGCTTTGGCCATCATGACATAGACTTTTGATCCATGCTGCTACTGTACATGGGGGGATTTTATGAACGTGTTTTTGTGTGAGCACCAATGAATAAAACACACAATGAAAACGGTTTGATTTGTGGTCCATCTGGTGTTTTAAGTCATGAACTGAGAAACTTTATCTTCCAGTGGCACTACACAATGTTTTACAACATGTTTTTTCACCTTCGCATCACATTTAAACCAGTCTGAAATATACAAATGATGCGGTGAAGACAAACATATTTACAGTTGCTGACAGACTTGCATACAAAAACAAGCCTCCTCTTTAGACCTGTTTTTACGGAAACTTAGGCCAGAGCCCCTTTAGCCCTCCAGTCCCGGGACAAAAGCCCCAGCAGCTCTTCTTCATCCTCCTCTTCCTCATGGCTGGCGTCTGTCTCCATATGTTCATCCTTCCTGCGCAGAGGCTTGCTCTTCACCACATCCCGCTTGTCTCTCAGCACCTCCACCCTCTTGTAGCACTCAATTTGTTCATCGATTTCATCAATCTGACGTTCAAGGCGGCCCTCCTCGTCGTCCTCCGCCACGATGGCCTCTGATTTCGTGTTCACCTGTCGGATCTCCTTTTGAAACTCTTCCCACTCCTTGTCCATTTGATCTTTGGGTGCGTCGACGTTGCGCACTTTGGCATCTCTTACGGGATCGTCGAAGAAGCCCTCCGGCAGTGCCTCGGCCGTGTTATCTTTCTTCTCTGTGCTTTTCTCCTGCACTTCTGCTTTGAGGATGGATCCTGAGTGGGAGATGGCGGGTGTGGATGGGATGGAGCTGTCAAAGAAATCGCTCGGCAGCCCTGCAGCTTCAGCCTTTTGAGGAGGGGGGTTCGCGCTTCCTGCCTGACCTTCCTCTGCCGCATCTTCTGCATCGTCGTCTTCATCATAAACTCCGGCCAACAGACTCAGACCTGCAGACTTTTGAGCGTGCACAGCTCGCTTTTCGGCGGGTTTCTGGAAGAAATCTCCTGGCAGTCCTGACGCAGACTGGCCCGCAGCCGAGGAGGGTTTGGCCTTTTTCCCGTTCACGTCGTCGTCGTCGGGCGCTTTCCTCTTTGCTGGTTGACTCTGCGGTGTTGCCGGTTGACTCTTTGCCTCCTTCAGCTCTGCAACTTTCTCTTTGTGCTGTTTACCAAGAACATGAGCTGGCCACAGCAGCTCCGACTTCACCTGCACATTGCACAGGACGCAGCTGAGATGGCCCAGACTGTTGTATTTAGCGAAAGGAGACTCGACGCGCTTCTTGTCCGTCGTTCGCCTCTGTTTCTCTCTCATCAAGCGCCGAAGTTCCTCTTGATTCACAACTTTCTTCCCCTTCTTAGAGGTCGCCATTCTTCAAAACAGCGCAGCTTGTTGGCTAGCCAGCTAGTCGCTTGCGACGAAGTGCAAGCTGCGTCCGGTAAAAGTGACGTGAAGCACGAACTCGCGTTCAGTCGGTTTTTGTGGAATAGTATCGCGAGATTTCCCGCTTCGGCAAGCTGGCTAAGTCTGTTAGCTCAGCTGGTTCATTGTGCGCCTCAGTTTTTACCGCAAAGCCACTGAATCGATACAGCTTCATACGTTTAGCCAAGAAGAAGCAGCAGCAGAAGGGCCGACGATGTAGTCGCTTCACCTCCGTGCTTATTCCTAGACGTGTGTTGATTTAGTGCGTGTGTTTTGTTATGTGTGCAGTTATTCTGTGTTTTGTGTCGCCGCACCCACCGTGTTTATTTCTTATTGTGGGGCTAGCTGGCTAACGTTTGCTGGGAGCTAACCGCGGTTGTCTCCGGAGCTGGGCAGCAGGTGTAACGTTACAGGGAGCATCCAGAGAAAAGCGTCGCTGTTGGCTTTAATTGCTAAGAAGCTCAAAATCATATTGGCGAATTTTAGTTCATCTGCTCCCAAATTTTTAGGTTTTTATGTTGTTTTTTTTGCCACATCAGTAAATCAGTGAACGTGAGCCTGGTAGTCATCATGACAGGGGAGAAGATACGCACCATGCGAAAGGACCACAACAAACCGAACAAAAATGAAGAGATAATGGACACGTACGATGAGACCTCAAACGGGACTATCCCTAACGGCACCGGTAACCATTTTAAATCCAACAAGGCTTTTCAGAAATCCGTCAAAACCTCGACACTGCAGCAGCAACAGCAGCTCAATGCAAACAACATCAACGGCAACTCGTCATCGCTCGGCACAGTCGTCAATGATAACAACAAGAACCCAATTATCCTGACGAGTGAGGACTTGGAGTTCCCTGTTCACGAGTGTGTGTTCAAGGCAGATGTGCGTCGGCTCTCCTCTCTCATCAGGACCCACAGCATCTCCCAGAAAGACGTGCATGGTAAGCTCTGTGCTGTTGCCTTAACAGTTCATTACGTTTACAGGTATGTTGTGATCAGGTTTGAACTACTGGTGTTAATATTTGCATGTACTCTTTCAGGAAACACGCCTCTTCACCTGGCTGTGATGATGGGCCACAAAGGTAAAGCTCATAAAAAGTGTTCAACTCGTTTTATTTTGATACACAGGATTAACCTAAATCAACCGAAAGCTTCTCAGAGGGTTATCTACCAGCCTTGTTTTGAGCCCAGAAAATTAAATTACACTAAATCTGATGTGCCGTGATGGTCGTGCATCTGTCATAATGTGGCTTTATGGGAGAGAGTATTTGGCATCCTCATTAAAAGCCTTTTTTTAAAGCAACTCAGTTCTCTTTGCTTTTTTTTTTTGGACTAGCCTCCATACTCTTGCTGCACTCATCATGTCTTATCTGACCTCTGCCGTGCTGGGATATTATACAGTGGGTATTATATAGTAGCAGCTAATTTATAAGGACATATATGCTTGGGTTTGCAAAGCAGAAAAGTCAGTTCGGTTATACATATAGCCCAAAATTTGCCTCACAGGGCTTTACAATCTGTAAAACACACAGCACCCTCTATTCAAAATCTCTCCAGATATGGGAAAAAAACCTTCCACGAAGCAAAAACCTCAGCAGGGAAACAAAAGGGGAGAAATGGAGGTGCAACAGAAGATGTATTCCTCTTCCAGTACAGAAGTAGTAGTTGCTGGCACTATTGTGGATACTGAACTGAATGAATGACCTTAATGTACCGAAAAATCTAAAGTTTGTCATGACATAAAGATCAGTGGTCGTAAAATAAAGATATAACCTAAAGATATATATAAAAACAACTAAACTATCCGGACTCTGTTACAAAGTTATGTTTTGGAATGGCTGCTCAAAACGTGGTGACAATATACAAAATTGACTATAATATAGACATAATCAAGTTTGTCCTTGATAATGATAAATAAATAAATAAAAATCAATGGTAAGTTTTTGTGTTTTTCTTTCAGAGTGTGCCCTCCTGCTTCTGGCCCATAACGCTCCTGTAAAGATCAAGAACGCACAGGGATGGAGCCCTCTAGCAGAAGCCATCAGCTACGGCGACAGGCAAATGAGTAAGTGTCTGCACTGCTCTGAATAGCTGTCTGCTGTCCCGGGGTTTTCATATTTGCATGTGTTTATGGAAATCTCAGCGGCGTACCTGCAATCATACACTTGTCGTTACGACATTTAGGCTGAGTGCTGCCTGTCTGACGGCTCTATGGATTCACAACAGCTCCATGATGTTTGCTTTAGTCACCATTTGTCGGTTAGAGAGTCAGTCTGACATCTGGAATGACTTTCTGCATGAATGCTTATATTGTAGCAGTGTTGGTAGATGTCAGCTTGATGGTTGTAGTCTGTTCAGGAAGTATCATATTTGGTTGAATTGCTCTGCTTCTTTGTATTGCCAACACTGATACACTGACTGATATCATGTTCTCCTAATGAAAAAGGGAAGTTGTAAGTTTTTCTCATAGTTAATGAAATACAACACAAAATCTCCAGAGTCTTTGCTTTGCAGAAACATTTACCTGTGTATACTGTTTAGAGACTTCTTGGATACCTCTGTACAAGCTTGGCTTCTCTCTGTTTTCTTTTCTACATTAAACCCAGAGTTTCTGCTGTCATATGTGGGACAGAATCAGTTGTATTGCCCACCGCTGAAATCAAGTGAAGTTGCAGAGAAAATGGCATAATAAAGAACATTTTAGTTTTTCATATCAACCGATAAATCCTAAACAGTACTACAGTATTAAGGTTAATAATGTCTACGTCACTGAGAAATTAAAATGTAATCCTTTGTCTTTTTTAGAAATTGTGGCGCAAGGCAAAGGGGGCTAAATACTGTCGGTGGTGTGAGTGTTTGAAGAACCTTTTTATGAGTCATTTAATTGTTTAAAGGCGGCTGCTGTCTGGTCGGTCCAGCTAAAAGCTAGAGGTGGAGGTTTTCTCTGAGCACTCGTCATCCAGATGGGTTGGAACGCAGCCTGAATGGGGGCTTAGTGTTAGGAAGCCCTGAGCTCCGGTCACTCCTCTGCTTATTGATGCAACTGCTTTTAGATCTGACATCCAGTGAAAAAGAGTCAAATGACATGTGAAAGGCACCAGCTAATGCCTTTGGGATGAATTCAGTGCTCTGTCCTTTTTTTTTTTTTTAGATGTGGTGTTAATTTTGCACACTTGACTAAAGATAAAAGAAAAGATAATGGCTGGGCTAAGTGTTTGGTAAAGGGTCTATATACTAAATAAATTCTCTCTGTTTTTGTGACAAAGCCAAGGTGACACATTTATGTTAGCGCTGTGTAGATAAGCTAACAGTGAACTAGCAGCATCCTGTTCTTACACAGCCTGTGATGCAGGTTGTGAGGCTCGGTAGTTTGAGAAATGACCCTCAACCTTGTTAGTATGCGCCCCGACTCTCCGTGCCTGCTGTGGCAGGCTGGCTTGGGACTGGGACCAGGAGTTTTGCTTTGAGAAGGTCACGTCATTCTTAAGGGTGAAGGGGAGGCAGGGAGGGGGCTGGGTACATTCACAGCATCAGGACATGGACAAGGACATGCAAAGAAAGGCACTGCATTATTTAGATTTCCATTTTAGGTTTAATAACGTGCAGCACACACAGCTGGCTATCAGAGTGAGACAAATGGAGAATAATTTGCGCGGCTTACAGCTTTTTATGAAACACCGCAGTCTTGTCATCAGTCATCACCTTTCACTTTTACACATGTCCACATTGCGTCAGCAGCTCGCTCCCTGGTTGTCTGTGTGTGCAATGACGAGCTGCCCGAGTGCAGCAAGTGCCTCATCAGCAGTATGTGCCTCGGTCACGTCCACTCTCAGTCCAGTGTTTCCCCCTGGTCAAGATAACCAGGACACGTCTGAGGTCCGTCCGGTATTATTCAATGGTTGCTGATCTAATGAAAATATATATATGAAAAATCAGACTTCTTTTAAAGGAGTTATAGTTGCAGCAGGGCAGTGATGCAGTAGCAGCAAAATCTGACTGAACACTTTACTAGAGCTGCAACATTTAGTCGATCAGAAAGAATCAGCTAAAACTATTTTGGTAAGTGAGTAATTTTAAAGCAAAAAATGTTTGGTGCAAGCTTCTCCAATGTAAGGATTTGCTGCATTTCTTTGTTTTATTTAATTTGAAGACTAAATATTTTAGGGTTTTTGGACTGTTGGTGGAAAAATGTTTTTCAGTGTTTTCTGACATTTTATAGACAAATCAATGAATGTAATAAAATAACGGCAGATTAATGGATAATGAAAATGATTGTTAGTTATACTTAACTGCATATCTCACAAACATGGGTGCAGACAAACACACACAACAACACTCACTTCTGGATCAGTACCATGCAGGGAATAGAGTCTGACAGATTGGAGATCAGTATACATCACATAAACAAACCCTTTTAGTATTTTTGACTCCTCATGATCGAGATATGACCGACATATGTAAAGTTGTGTACCTTTTTTAGACTGGCTATGTATTCAAAGGTGATGTAAGCAATTGGACTTCATATTTTAAGATGTGTTTAGGTGTATATTGTGTGTAACTAGTAACTGAGTTCTTTCTCACCCTCAGTCACAGCAATACTGCGGAAGTTAAAGCAGCAGTCCAGGGAGAGTGTGGAGGATAAAAGGCCAAAATTACTGAAAGCTCTCAGGGAGGTGAGAATCACACTGGCTGTCGCTGACACTTCACTGTATTTTCAACATGTCTGCAGGCTATCATTTGCATAAACGACTCTTTCCTGTCCTTGAGAATGCATATTACTTGCTGAAATGCATAATGTGAAATCTTCACTGTACAGTACTTTTCTTCTGACCCATGAAATTGTAATGTATCAGCTGAATCATTTTGAGTGCTTCTGTTTTTTCCGTAGCTTGGTGACTTTTATCTGGAGCTGCATTGGGACTTTCAGAGCTGGGGTGAGTTGTCATATTTCACACACAAAACGCTGTGTATGTGCCCTATTCTCAAACATCATAACGTGATAATGTATAAGACAAGCTTTCATTTGAAATCACTTTGCTGAGTTCTTCAAAGTTGCAGGATGGTTTAACTGTTACTTTAGGATTGTATTACAGATAAACATTTTTTTTCTTTTATTGGCAACGCAAAATCTAGATTATGAAATACTTGTTCATCAGCCACAGTTGAATTTATTCACACTCTCTTCTGTATTTTAGTGCCTTTGCTGTCCCGGATGCTGCCATCTGATGCTTGTAAAATCTACAAGCAGGGGATCAATATCAGGTAGGAAGTCGAATATTATCAAGTTTACTAGACTAAGGCTGTAGCCGTACCTATGAGAGAACCTAATTTACTGAGCAAATGGTCGTTATCCAGGTCGAGGACTTCTTTTAGATCTGAAAAGTAGGACATAAAAATCTTCACACCCTCCCTGTCCTTCCTCCTCATTTAGACTTGACACCACTCTCATAGACTTCACTGACATGAAGTGTCAGCGCGGAGATCTTAGCTTCATTTTCAACGGCGATGCTGAACCCTCCCAGTCCTTTGTGGTTCTGGACAATGAAGCCAAAGTGTACCAAAGAATACACCACGAGGTGAGTGAGTGGTATGAGCAGACCTCTGTTTCACATTGTGTCATCAGCTTTTTAGCGTGAATAGCAATGTCTAACTATCAGTGTCTTTCCCCCCAGGAGTCAGAGATGGAGACTGAAGAAGAGGTGGATATTCTGATGAGCAGTGACGTCTATTCTGCAACTCTGTCCACCAAGTCCATCACTTTCTCTCGCAGTCAGATTGGCTGGCTGTTCAGAGAGGATAAAACAGTAAGGTTTATGGGACAGACCATTACTAAAACTGAAAGTTTTAGAAAATGAGGCATAGCTAAAATATATGACATGGTAACTCCTGCAAATCCATATCTCCCAAACAAATAATGGGAATAAGGCCTGCTTGTTTAGATCAGTGGTTTGACCCTATGACCCCTTCTCCTTTCGAATATCCATCACACGTTGCATTCAATAAGTGTGTGAAAGTGAGAGTGAGTTGTGCTAGAGTGGTTTTTTACCTCCAAGATTCTTTAATTTGAACCATTTTAGTGTCTTGAAGAGTTAAGTGTCCGTTTTTTAGAAAGAAAGAAGAAATAATCAAAGACTACAGAAAGGATAAGGGAAAAAAATGTTGATGTGTGATCATCTTATTCCTTTCCTGTAAATCCTCTCACAACCTCTTGGCTGACTCCCAACCCCCTGGGTGGAAACCACTGGTTTAGAGTTCCCATATGCAAATAAAATATTTCTCAGTACGGCCTTTGCAGCACAGTCTGAGTTTGTTAAAAACAAGACGTGTGTACCTAATTGCTCTGCACAGTGGTTAATAGAATTTTAACAGAGATTTGTCTTGCTGTGAGGATGAGAGAAAAAGAGGTGCAAAGTTAGTAGAGTGCTACCCTCAGGCTGCGCCGTGGCACATTTTAAGAAATCAGCAGTATTTTTGGAAATTATTTGTTAACTCGCAGTGAAACCTCGACGTCTGGTTGTTTTCTGTTCAGGAGAGGGTTGGAAACTTCCTGGCTGACTTCTATTCAGTGAACGGTCTGATGCTGGAGTCACGGAAGCGGCGAGAACACCTCAGCGAGGAGGACATCTTGAGGAACAAAGCCATCATGGAGAGCTTGAGTAAAGGCGGCAGCATCAGTGAACAAAATTTTGAGGTGAGAGAGAAGGAAACCAGTGTTCTGGCTTCATCCATCAATGGTAAATAGCAGTGTTACCCTGAGGACTGTGAATATGCCACTGACTGATATTTTCCTGTGCCCAGCCTGCGAGAAGGCAGTCCCTCACAGCTCCAGCGCCAAACACAATTTCTTGGGAAGAGTACATCACTGCAGAGCAGGGAAAGTAAGCATCTTGTGTTTTCTACAATTTCATCAGTCTTTGTCAAAATAAAAGATTCAGAGTAGAAGTTAAATCAGGGCAGAGTTTGTGAACCATCGTGGATTATGAAAGCAATGTCTTTGTGCGTTTGTCTGTGTCTCTTCCCCCCTTCAGGCCACCTCATCTTGGAAGAGAGCTGGTGTGTAAGGAAAGCAAGAAGAACTTCAAAGCCACTGTAGCCATGAGCCAGGATTTCCCTCTAGGCATCGAGTCGTAAGTACATCCCTTCCTCCTTAGATCTATTTACAAAGTCTTCTGCACCGATTGATCCTGGGTGAATACACTCAAAGTTTTATAGAAGGGCGGCGTGGAGAAGAAATTATTCGGATCCGATAATTAGGCCAGGTAGGCACAAGGGTTTCTCTGATTGTGTGGGGGAGCCACTGATGAGATGATTGCAAATCAACTGCTCCACCATGTGACAACAAAATTACAGTGTTTGCATTATTTTTAACTCAGCTAGGCCCCCTTGTTAGCTATGCTTGGGCTGTTTGAAGAAAATTACTTATTTCTCTCTCATTTTCTATGCACTTATGTCTTACTTCAGTGGTTCTCAAGGACCCCAAAAATGATACACATCAGACCATCGACCTTTATTTGATAAGATGTAGTCTTAAGGATCCCTGTCTGATAATATTTTGTTATAAATGTTTATATTCCACATTTTGTGGGGACACCCTCAAGGACCCCTGGGGGCATCTGCAAGCTTGTGGCATTTGTCTCAGGACCTGTAGGGTTCTTGAGGGAGTTAAGAAATATATTAAATAGAGTTTTAATAGCCAATAATGCTATATTTCACAATATTGTTTTGTTTTGTACATAAACAGAAAAAGGAGATGTTTTTTTGTAGATGAAAAACTAACCTGTCAGTGCTCTCTGGTGGACAAACTATGTAATGGTGACAGTGTTTGTAAATGCCCTGAATGGCAGTTGTATTACTGCAATTTTTGGATGCTGATATATTTGCCAATAAATATGCCTGATAGTTTACCCATAGCAGACGAGCTGTATCTGGACCTGCTGCTGGTTCTGTGTGTTTTTAAGCTTTCTTTTTGTCTGATGATGAAATTAGAATTGTCAAACAAATGTATAGATAAAATGTAAATCACAATGTTACTTTAAGCTTTAACGACCACTGATTGCCTGGAGAAGAAACCGTGTGACTGTTGTACATTTCCTTATATGCAGGAAACATAAAATCAACTGCATTTTTGATCTGAGGTTTGATTTTATGCAGCCAAGAACAAGTCATGTGATCGTGTAAGGAAGAGGCATGTTACACTGAGTAGAATGCAGGATTCAAACAGGATGTGGTTTTGTTTTTGCCTGTAATGGGTTACAGGCAGTGCTTAATGTAGTAAATTGCTTTATCTCCTCTACTGAATGAACCTTAATGGAGGCAACAATAAAACCCCACCCTTTATGATAGCTAATGGTTTTTTAATTTGATTTCGTTTTTCCCTGCACATTATGTGATTTGTAATGTTAAAAATATGTTCTACTTCCTACTCCTAAAATGTTCACTTTAATGTCATTAATCACCAAAAAGAGGCCAGTGATTGTAGAGAAATTATTTTGTTTTGCTACAGAACACATTATCTAAGGCTTTAAAAAATAAATTGTACTTTACACCAGTACATCCGGTGGTTTTAAGTCTCAGCCCCTTTAGTTTTCATTCTAACTAGAAAGCCAGTGTTTGTCTGGACCCTGAGGAAAACCTCTGTTAAAAGCTGATATGTCAGGATACAAATGATTCATTTATTCCAGTGGTTTCCAACCTGGGGGTAGGGACCCAACAAGGGGTCGCAAGATCATTAACATTTCTGCTACATATTTTAAAATTATTTACTTTAATTCAACAAATTTTAATTGTTCACTAAAATGTATTCAAATGGAACAATCTCAGTGTGGTACATACATCTTTGGTTGAACTACTTGCAACTCTTAGACATACTGTAAAGTAGAAGGAGACATTGTTTCTCCCTAAAACGTCTACAAACGGTTGGAAACTCCTATTTTATTCCATACTTTGTTAATAAGTGTATAGTCCTGTTATGAAGCCTTTACTAAAGATTCTTTATTCACTGAAGATGTCAAATTGAAGTTTGACCTAATCCCCCTTTTTTTCTTGTTCAGTTTCCGGGGAGTTTGTCTGTACCTAATGGGAAATATCGGCAAAGAAAAGACTGAAAGTTTTTGAAACTGCTGACTCATTTTTCCTCTGCCTCCAGGTTACTAAACGTGTTGGAAGTCATAGCCCCGTTCAAGCACTTCAACAAACTCAGAGAGTTTGTTCAGATGAAACTTCCGCCTGGGTTTCCAGTCAAACTCGGTATGTGTGTCGACCTACCACCGTGTACCTGTGAGTGGGTGAGCTTGAGAGGAACCATCACAAATATAACATGTTTCTTCTTCTTTTTTTCTCGTTTTCCCCCTCGCAGACATCCCCGTCTTCCCCACGATCACAGCAACTGTCACATTTCAGGAATTCCGCTACGACGAATTTGAGGAGTCTATTTTCTTCATCCCTGCCGAATACAAAGAAGATCCCAGTCGCTTTCCCGACCTCTGACCTGTTAAACACATCTGACACAAACAGGAAATGACCAGCAAGCTTATATGTTAGGGAGGTGGGAAACAAAAATGAGGAATCCTGTATTGTTTTATTCATAAGAAAAAGAAAAAAAAAAAGGGAACTGGTCAGTTATTGTTCATTTTGCTGATGGATCCAAAGCAAACCAATGCAAACAGATGTTACAGAGCGCCATCTCACCTATAGATGCATATCGGCAGTGGTTTTTTTGTGAAATGAGTGATAGCTTTCAGTGTACTCGCCGTTCACCACCTGAGCAGTTTAAGCTGTTGCTCTGTGCTGCTGTTCTTTCCTGTGAAAGCTGTCAGAAGACAAAGTCTGGACTCTTCATCATCACTATTTTAATATCTTCTCCTCTCCAAGGACTGATTACTGAATTCTCATTCTTGAAACTGCACTGACACCATCATCTGTAAATAATTCACGTCTCATCTGTAATTCATAACAAAAGGAATCACAAATATAGCTATATCCTCAAACTGAGCTTAATATTCATTTATAAATGATGTACTATATATATATATATATACTCAATGGAGTAAACACTGTGTAGCAATACATTTCCAGTACTTAAGAATGTTTTTAACCAGCTGGGAGAAGGTTTAGCATAAAAACACATTCTTAACAGTTCGATATCCAAGCCTTTTCCCCTGTGCAGGAGGCTGTCTCCTGTGTTTTCAGGTTCGCTCATGTTACCTCTCGGCTGTCTCCATGTTTGTCGTGATAGTATGGATTCTGTGCTCAGTGTGAGTGAATAATTGTACTGTATCAAGGGTTTGTTGTATGTACGTCTGTGTGTGGGAGAACCCAGATGGGATATCAGGTAAACTGTTCTTAGTTTAATACTGCACTGATATTAAATATATTTAAGGCATGCTATGGCTGTGTTGGCCTACTGGATTACATGCATCTTTAAGATATATTCTCTGAACGTTTGTTACATTACCTGCAGACTTAATGGTATTTAGATAAAAGGAAACACTGAAAATTGTAACACTAACACTTTGAAACACCTTTTAGTGCTTATAAAATCTCTCCTTGATGGTAGTCTGCGCATATTTTTCATTTTTGTTTTCTTCAGTGGAAGGAGAGTGAACTAAGCTGTGAAGTTGATGTTCCACAACTGTCCAGATGGGAAAATTATCTGATCCATTGAGTTGTCTCTGGCTTCAGCTAATATGTACTGCAACCATACCTACTTCACATCCCTTTAAATAAAGCACCAGCATCATGTTTCAACAGACTGTGCAAGTATAATAAAAATGCAGTATTGTATATGAGGCTTTCAAATAAGGGTGGGTGTTAGTCATTTGTCAAGTCACATATTTTGCTATACCAGCATGTCACTAATGTATTTCTGGGAACAAACAGGACTGCTTTGGGGCAATATAGGATTTTATATATGATTTTTGCATGTGATGGTACTTTAATTTCAGTTTTTGCTAGTTTAGCCAAAAACATAAATCTGGTTTAAGGGCTACTGCTAATGATTATTTAAATTTTTGATAAATCTGCCAATTGTCCTGATTGTTAGACTATAACAAATCAAAAAATGCCTATGAAAACCTCCGAGAGCCCTGGGAAATGTCTTGTTTTCTCCGACCAACAGTGCAAAACCTGAAGATATTCAGTTTACTCTTAATTAAGATGAGGACAATTTTACATTTGAGAAGCTGGAATCATCAAATCTTTTAGCTTGAAAATTACAATTATAAAATAGATATAAAATGACTAATCATATCACTCAAGCTCCCATCCGCTGATTGGGTTCATCAACTATTTCTCAATAGTTTTTTTCTTGAAAATGTATAATTGTGATGTAAAATTAAGTACAGTTACTGTAACTGAAGGTTTTATCCACATGAACCCGCCCCTCCTTCCAAATGCCATGCAGAACCATAAAGTAAAAGTCTTTGTTCTCCAAATAGGCTTTATTATAAAAGAAATCCTTGATAAAACAAACTCATTAACAGTTCCAAGAAGGTGGGGAAGATGCCTGAGCAACACACCACAACGCTAAACAAACGTAAAGATTCAATATGTGAGGAAGTAACAAAACCTGACAACACAAGCTCAAGAAAAGCAAAACAAGCCTACTTCCAGTTTTAAACCGATTACATGTGTAGAGGGCACAGGGGTACTTTAAAGCAATGTGACAATGTCTTTGGGCAAAACTGACAATTCTGCATTGTATATTTGCAAAGAGTAAACCACTTCTGTGCAGAAAATCTATATAATTCACTTCACATTTTAGATTTACCCCAGTGGGGGGAAAAAAACTCACAGCCAAAACGGAGGGATAATGTGGGACAAAGCAGGACGGAGGACTTAGTCGCTGACATCCATGTCCTCTTCGTGGTGATCGTCTGCTCCGTTAACTTTGGCCTGCTTCACAGACCTCGCAGTGCCGTTACCTTCCACAGACTGGGGAGACAAAGCAGAGTCATCAGAATCCTTCCTGTCCTCTCGCTCCTTCTCGCTGTCATAGCCTTGTTCCTCTTCATCATAATCCCTGGTGATCTGTGAAAGGAAACCAATGGATGTGCCATTTTAAAGCATAAAGCATAAACACCCCCCTGAGTCTGGTTTACGTCAGAAAAAGCAAAGCTCCCAGTGTGTAGGAATGAAGACTGCGTGTCAAATATACTATACCAACCTTGACATCTCCTTTCTCACCATCTGACTTCCTCTCTCGCTCTCGTTCTTTGTCTTTACTTTTCTTTTTCTTGCTGGTGGAGCGTTCATGTTCCTCGCGACTGCGCTCTTTTTCTATCTTGCGGTCCCAGTCCCTTACCTTATCCTTTTTCTTGTCCTTCTTGTGTCTGTAAAGGGAAGAGAGGAAAAGTCTTGTCCTGGATGTACCCACACAAAGGATATTTGGTTTATTTGGTCTGGAACAGTTATAAATTATTTTTATGACAGTGTCGTATGTATCCTGACTGAACTGGTAAATTATTGATTGGACTGTTTTACTGCCCTGATACCAAATTATTTGCATAAATACAAAAGTTGCTTTTAAGATTTCTTACTGGACGGATTTAATGTTGATGCTAAAATCACACAGTTACTATGACAAAATCCTGTAGTTGGTCCACTTTGCCTTCACACCACAAACTGCACCAGGTTTCACACCAACCTTCGAGGAGATGGAGACTTGGAAATTTTTCTTCTAGGAGATTTTTTAGGGGATCGGCTTCCGCTTCGACTTCTCTTGCGTCTCCTGTTTCGAAGAACAGGACAAAAAGAACTTAGAAAACTGAAAATAGATATAGCGTATAAAAGTTTGTATACATTTTCACATGTAACCTTTGCTGTACTCACCGGCTCCCGCTGCGCGACCTCCTGGCTGTGCTGTAGCTTTTCGGTGGTGTTTTGGATTTTCTTCTTCCCGAATCATCTTTCTTTCTGTCTCTATAGATAAATCTTATGTAAGACCTCAGACAGGCTCAATTCCATCTTTAACAATCATGGTGATAAAGCAGGCTCAACAGTTAACCCACCTGGATCTGCTTCGAGATCGCCTGCTTCGGTCTCTGGAGTGGGTGCGTTTCCTGCGCGGACTTTTGGAGCGTCTCCTGTTTCTGGAGTTCGACCGTCGCTTTGATCTGCTCCTAGTTCGCCTGCAACCATTAAGACCATTTCACTTTATTCTCAAAACACAAAAAGCTTCTCCATCTCAACTCTTCATATTATTAACGTAGGTTATCTATCTATCTACCTGTGTCTTGACCGTGATCTGGACCTTCTCCTTCTGGACCTGGACCTTGTCCGGGACTGAGCTCGCCCCTTTTTGTTCTCCTTATCTGCAGAACAGAAAAACAGACATTGCTTAGTATTGTCAAGGTTTTCTCTTGTCAATTTACAAAGGCTCTTTTCACAAGGCAAAAACTAGGAAAATAACAACTTACTTCCAGGTTCAATAGCAGCAGAAATGAGCGACTGGGCCTCTCTGACTCTCTTCATGGCCTCTTCGATTTCTTTATTTGATGCGTCAGCCTTCAGGCTCGCACTCAGGTTTAAGCCCGCAGCCAAAGGATTCAATCTAAACAAAGGAATATTAATTAGTTGACTCATCATTTCTACAAATACACCGACACGTCTATTTTTTTTACTCTGCAATTTAAAACTGCCTCCAGGCACAATTTACAGAGGACTTCTCAAGGAGCGTCTTTATAATGACTTACTTTGGATCTGTCATGAACTTTAACAGCTGATCAGCCGCCTGTAAAAAAAACAGCAGGAAGAACGTTTGTCAGACATACTGCATATCTAACTTCACAAGTTTTATAAGTCAGTGTCATTCAAGCAAACCTCTCACCTGGGGATTCATATTGGCTCCTGGGAATCCAAATGCAGCCATTGCATCCATGTTCGGAGCTCCAAAAGGGTTTCCCATCTGGAATGAAAACAAACACGTTGGTTGTGCCTGCCTATTGTTGTATTGACCTTCATTATTCACCCACCTATTGAAATCATTTTTCTGATTGCTTAAAAGAAACTCAAATTACACCAAAACGACACTGAGGTGAGACTGTTAAGAGAATTAACTTTAAAGCTAACATGAGCAACAAGTTCTTTAAGTGCTCAGACACAAATGCCATTAGAACATCTGGAATTTACATGACAAACTGAGCAAACTCCATGTTCTGATGAAGATCATGCCATATGATCCAAAGCTGCAGAACTGCTACCAAATGGACTTTGAGGTGAAATTGTTTCATCAACTAAAATAACGGAAGTTTCTCTATGGTCCAATATACTCTTGGTCAGAATAACAACACATACAAATGTCTGGTAGAAATGCAGCCACACTGTGTTCACATCACATTTACAAATTGTATAAAACAGACAACAGCAAATTTACGTTTGAATCATTTTCTGTAAGGTCCTGCAGTAGCTGATGGATGATGATAGATGTTCCCATAGTCAGAGAATTTGTACTAAACAGCGCATTTCTTACAGCTGGATTGGAGATGGGATTGGGCGTCGGAAGAAGTCCTCCTCCTGGCAGAATTCCTGCAACAGCGTTTGCTGGCGCCAACAGTGATAAAGCTTTCGCCTCATCTGGAATAGATCCTACAGGAAAATGAAAACAGGCATTAGGAGAGAACTTCACACACATAAACTACAGAGAAGACATTTTGGAAAAGGCAAAGAAAAAAAGTCTTCACACTGCATTTCTCCAAATTAGGTTCAACAAAATGGTTACCTTACAGATCAGAGAAGAGTTCCCTTAATTCAACATAATCATTGCAGTGACATAACTAATGCTGGAATATATCACACTACTCCAATGAACACTGCCAAGAATATATCACCTGAACGTGTTTTTTAAGTCATGAACCAAACGTTAGCAAGCACAGCTGCTTCTCCAGTTGGGTGTGCCCTCAATTTTCATTTAGACGTTTACTGAAACAAGCGACTCACGTTGGCGGCTTCGCTACTAAAAGCACACAGAGAAAAATCGAGATACACACAACAGAGAGAATTTTAGGGATTTGGCAAGAACACTATACAAGCTATCAGTGTCTACTTACCAAAAACACAAACGTCAGATATACTCAATGACAATAGCAGAATTCAGGGTGGGTAGCGTACCTGCTGTACATCATTATTCTAGTATCCTTACCTGCCACCGCATCAATTAACCAAACCAAAGCAGCAAACCTGGTTTGATTAATCTGCGCTACCAATGAAAAGAATATTTTTTATTTTCTTTATTTGCAATATGCCCTTGATTTTATTTTTAAAATGGCCCAAATTAACAAAAAAAACACCGTATAATCATCACACAGTAAATCCAGCCCAAAAACAACTCTTTCACAAAAATACATGACCTTAATACGAACACACAACAATGACAACATTGAAATAAAAAAAGCAGACTGAAGAGAAATTGCTGCAGGAGACAAAACTGTTGGATGGTATTTTCAGCAGGGCCTGGTATACAGGACTGGCTGAGCCAGGAAAAAGAACTGTAAAACACAACAACAAAAGAAGACCACTGTTAAAGAGAATATATTTTACTAACATTGTGTCATGTCAGGTGGGCATCTAAGACAACTTACGATGAGATTTAGTATGACTATTATGTAAGACAACCAATCACTGACTAGTTTTCTCTCTGTTAAGTCCCAAAATTAGCTGCTCACATATGGTTAAGTATGTCTGTGCAGTGTCTTCTGTAATCATTCACCCCCAGCATCTTCGTAGAATTTTTTTGCCACCATACCAAAATAAATGCTTTTGAAAGCTTTTTCTTCCGAGACTTAATTTACATCGTTTTCTCGGATAGGGCTGGTGAGATTCAATGTTTTGGTTTTTGTCAACCAATCCCATGAAAATACCAACACCAACAATGTGGTAGTCCATCTCTCAATACTTTCTACTTCTATACCTTGTTAGGGACTATTTTCAGTGGCGGATTAATACACATTAGGTATGCTAGCTAATATTACCTGGTGCAGGACGATGCCTGTGTTAGTGCCTGCATTCATTATAATGGACAAACATGTCATCTAGTGCACAGGTCACTCACTGATGTACTTTTAATGGTCTTTTGGTCTTCGTGGGATTTGTTAACAAAAAATAATAAAGAATACTGCCAGCCTTAACCATTAGGGAGATGCTGTAGCCATGAAATGAATGGCTAAGCAGCGTTCAAAAGTGTTGCAAAACAATGCAAAATGACCACTGTTTCAGGGTATGTCCACGATATCTGACCTTTATACTCTAAACCACCTAGAAAAGATAAATTAGACAGAAGGAAAGAGAAAGAGAAGGCAGAGAAAGAAAGAGGACACAAAAAGAGTGGGGTGGGGACTTGAATGCTTGCTGGCCTTTGAAAATGCCTATAATCCCCTGTTGGCAGGCAGAGGACCACTTTCAGCCATCAACGAGGGGGCTGCTTTTGCCTTCTTCACTACAAAAATCACATACACACACACACATACACACACACAAATAACAGAGAGAAGTTTAACAGGGGAAAGTCCAATATGGGGGAGAAAAATAAAATGCATATGGTTAAGAGTTTAAACAACTTGACTTTTGAATTTTGAGGTGTCTGCGGCGCCTGCAGTTTGGGAGTATTCAACTCCTACTCTGTAAAGCAGATTTTGGTATACTGCACTTTCTAAATACAGGACAAATGGTTGTTGTAGGCAGAGACATACAGCATGATATATATTTCCCCAAAGACATAAAATCCAGTTTTATTAAGAAATTATCATTGTGGTGGTAAAACAGGTATGGGAGGTGCTACCACAGTATACCAAGAATCTGCTGCTTTAAGAACATCTTATAGACAACAGGAGGGAACGGCATTACCAGTATCATTCAAATTATCTCATAAAGCTCACATAAACAGGCCAAGGTGAGTGGACTTGTGCAATTCACAAATGGGATAAATGAAATCCTTTTTTTTTTTTTTTACTCTTTTACATTTTCACTATTCAAGAGTTATGCCATTCAATCAACACTGACCACTCATACAAGAGAATAACGATGAGACAAACCTTCAGCAAACGGGACCACGATCAACGCTCTGTCCACAAACACGGTGTTAGTCAGATGCTGAGACACTCCGACAGACTCTGGCTCCTGGAACTTCACAAAGCAAACCCGCGATGTCATCGGCATCGGGGAGTCACTGTTGAGGAAGTCAAAATATTACCATTATTATTGCAAAAGTGCAATCTTTCAGTGCATCTTTGGTCTTTTTGGCCCAGTCTTTGTTTGGATATTTGGTGTTGAGGTGAACTAAAGGTAATGGAAAGAAATCAAGTTACGTAATATTGTGATACTTGGATTAGGTTACTGACTACGTTTAATAACAGGTTATTACCCTCCCAACCCTGCCACGGACATTACGCAAGGTTTGAGTCCCATCCATGATTCCCATAAACATCAAGGCCAGGATCAGTGCTGTTAGCTGGTTTCTCACTTTTAGATTTTGTAATCTTATCAATGTTTTTAGTTAAAAGTTAAAAAAATCATGATAGTAAGGGGAAATTATGAGATATTAGGTAAAAACTGTGACATTGTATGGCAAAATAGAAATCTGTCAGAAGTCAAACTTTTGTCTTTCTTATGATGGCGTTAGTAATGACATATTCATATTTTGAGTATTTTGTCTATCATCCTTTGTTATGATGTATGATGATTCAACCAAAACACTACATTAATGTTACAACCCAAAATAACATAAGAAATTACATATTCGTTACCCCACTTAATATTTTAACTTCATTACTTGCTAACTTTACAGTGTAAAGAAACATTAGTGAAACCTCAGTTGGTGTTTGTTGGTATAATATAATAATATAACGTAAACATATTATGTAACTTACTGGTATTTAAGGCCTACGTTAACGTTACGTTTCTGTTCTGCTAAGGTAACGTTAGTTATCAAAAAAACAAAAACACACACACAGTTAACCAGTGGCACTGATGTTAACCAGTAAATCACCAGCTAGTCAACTCACTCTGGTGGAAATAACTTCATTTCTTCGATGGTTCCCAAAAACCCGAACAGTGTTCTCATCTGCTCCGATGTTGTGCTTGGTGACACGTTCGTCACCTGGACCACCTTCGTGCTGTAATTCATTTTCCCCCGATTAAACCCCGTTTGGACAACAACAACAACGCGCCGTTAACAACTCAGTTAAACATTAAAGAGACAGTTATCCAGCGGGTATTAAAGCAGCTACTGTGCAGGTTAGCGAGCGAGTAACATCAACAGGCTGTAGCTTTACGCCGCCATATTGTCATCGTCGAACCAAGTGCGCATGCGTGTAGTTGCGCCGTTCACGATGCTGGAAGAGTTCACTTCTTCTTCTACGCACAAAATGATGTGTTATTGCTCCGTCGTTTAACTAGTTCCACAGTTTTTAACGTTTGAACGTCATTCACACTTAAAAACACTGTAGACTATGACATTATTACTTATATTATTTTATTACTGCTTAGCACAGTCACTGTTTGACTATTTAATACTCTACTTGCATTATATATTGCACAATATATATATATTATATTATATTTTCCCATCCCTGTTGTAACCTGTGCAATATTCTGTAGCAATAACATATGTATGAAAGCTGTATATAGTGTACATACAACTCTTATTCTATTTTTTGTTGTGTCTTTTTGTCTTGTGTTCTTTTTCTATTGTTTTTTTTATTTAATGTGTATTTTTCTTGTCTGTTGTGTTTTATCTGAAGCTGAAGCAAGTGGATTTCACTAGTGTGGGATCAATAAACTCTATCTTATCCTATCTTATCTTATCTTTATCTTATTCAGATATTTGGATAACTGTCATAAATTCCCAAATATTCAACGTTTTTCAGGGAATTTAGGGAATTAATGAGTAGACATAATGTTCACATTTGACACATTTTAGGTGGATTATGAGTTAGTATGGTTTTGTCAAACAGTATAAACATTGTTTTCCAGACTGACTGAAAGTATTTGCAGTATATTGATATTGATATTGATATTAGTTTTTTTCAGAGATATTTTTATTTATTTTTTAATTTTTGTTTTCAGTTTAGTTTAGTTTCAGTAGATTTCCAGAGTGGGTTTGCTCGTTTAGTTTTTATCAGTTTCAGTATTAGTCTTTTTACGAAAGTATTTGTCAGGGCCAAGATTTAAGAAATTCAGAATAGGAATTACAATACAAACACATTTAGTATTCAATAACTGACACTTTCTTTCTTATTAATAGATTATCATAAAAAAGCCTGGGCCTGTTTTATATTGCTGATTAAAGTCAGTCCACGTGTTGGCTGGAGGAGCCACATCACAACTCCACTGACAAAACAGCTTCTGGTGAAACTCTCTCTACTAATGGTGTTTTTTCCCAGGAGAAACAATGCAGCGTTTGTCTTCAGGCTACGTCGAACATAATCCCTATACCTGGATTATAGTTGCACCGAGACAAGCAAGTTAAGGCATTTTGTGTTCAGACCAAAGAACCACTGGCCCCATTTCTTCCAATTAGCATTGTGTGTAACGGTCATATTGTTCCAGATCCTCTAATAATAGCAGGGAAGCTTTATTGTTATTGTTTCACAATGATTCTGATCCCCTACTATTTTATTAAAATAGAAAACACTATTTAATCTAAAATAACATTGTTGTTATTGTTTTATTGTGAGTGATGTACTAAGAGGTTGGCGAATTAAGGCTTAATCCAGATTTTTTTCTATAAATTCACACCTCTAGAAATCAAAAAGTGTGCCACTAACACTCATGTAACCAAGGCTGTCAATTCGTCAAATGTTGATCACACATAGTCTGAATTACTGAATTCAAATCCACATCCACTTCTTTTGACTTCCTTTATGCTGTTTTGTAGCCCTATGCATTGTATCAATGCTACTGCACTTATTGTGACTCAGCATAACTACTTAAAGCATAAATTAAAGCACAAAATCTGACCAACTGATACAACTGAAAAAAAATCACATGCACTATTGCGACACACTTGCCAGTTCTTAAATATTCCCTGCTATAAATCCGGTTTCAGAGGGGTGGCCGTTGAGTCAGTCAGCAGAGGATATTGGCACAATGGGATTCTTGTTCACAGTGCGACATGATTGGCCAGGCAAAGGTTTACAGTGCAGATTGCAGTGACCATGAGGGGGACTAGATGAATAAATACCGCAAATCCCCAGGGAGACCAGAGACTTCCACTCCAGAAGTGACCTGAGGTTTTCTTAAGTTTGCTTTGTGTGGTGCCACAACAAGAAGGAAACATGGCCAGCCGGTGAGTTTATGATAAATTATAACTATTTCAAATATAGTTTTATCTTATATTGATAAACAAAAGGTAACAAGTGGGGGCGGCATATTTTGCAAACTATCTACTACTAACTTTTTCATAAATTGCAATTTTCCATAATTTTGTCTAGACACTTCTTACACAGTGACTTAAATGGCCAGTGAGTCTGCAGCTGATAAAGCTCCTGAAGGATTTCAAAGCACATGCTGAACTCTTAGACCAAGAACTGCATGACCATGTCAGAAATACAAGTTTTTAAAGACTTAAACTAACCAACTTCATATATTTAACTTGTTGGAAATGTAATTTACTTGGCTGCCAATGTGGATGTCTTCACTTCTTGATCACAGATTTGAACATCCAGCTGGTAGCTACAAAAAGATTTTTGAGACATGTGAGGATCTGTCTGAGCCTCTTCCCGCAACCGTCACAGGTTTGTTTGCATCTTTCAGACAGAAATAGACTGCAGGCCAATACTTCTTTCACAGTCTAATTGCAGAGAAAACACAACCTGCATCCAAAGTAGGATCTGAAACCATTTTTACAAACCGATACATTCCAAAACAATCTCTGATTTGTGTTTGTTATGTTGTTGTTTCACAGGTAGGATTCCTTCATTTCTGAAGGGAAGTCTTCTCCGTTTGGGACCTGGACTTTTTGAGGTTGGAGATGAACCTTTCTATCACCTCTTTGATGGCCAGGCCCTCATGCACAAATTTGACTTCAAGAACGGCCAGGTCACCTACTACCGAAAGTAAGACCATCAGGATAATACCAGTGTTTATTCATTATTTCAGGATATATACGTTAATGGCATGTAGCAAAAATCAATCTGTAGAGAAACTCGAGAATGAGTGCACATCAAGTCTCCATCTAATTGTTGTATGTTGTTGTTACTGTTGCATTGTAAAGGCTGTGCAAACACCATTAAATCATATTGTATCTAGCAAGGTTCAGTTCTCTGCAAGTTTATTTTTCTCATGCTTATACTGAGTGAGGTAGGGTTTTAGTTATAGAGATGAAAAACTTAAAAACCTTTGCTGCCGACACATAGCTGTATTAATATAATGTTAACACGTTTATTTAATAGGTAGCCTTTTGGGGATAGAATTCTCAAAATATTAAACAATGAATCTCAATTAAGCATTTTTTGTTTTTTAAAATGGATGTTTAATGTTTTGGTTTTCTCTTCCACTATTTCCTCCTTTTAGGTTTATCCTGACAGATGCATACGTGAGAGCCATCACAGAGAAGCGTGTTGTGATCACTGAGTTCGGCACCTGTGCATACCCTGATCCCTGCAAAAATATTTTCTCCAGGTGGGTTGCATGCTGAATGAACTGAAAATGTACTTAAAAATTGACAAACTCCTCCAGCAAATTTTCTTTTAGCTTTCTTTCTGTATTACACTGCTTACTCTTAACATGACCATTACCTTTTTACAATGTTTTTATATGACATGCAATCTTTTTTTGCAGGTTTTTCTCTTACTTCAAGGGCGTTGAGGTCACAGACAACTGCCTGGTGAATGTTTACCCTGTTGGTGAGGATTATTATGCTGTAACTGAAACCAACTACATCACTAAAGTGAACACTGATACCTTGGAGACACTGAAGAAGGTACGTCAATACAAATGTGTCAAAGAATTTAAAGTGTAAAAAATGTATCTTTATATCACGTTATTTCACAGAGCACAGTAAAATGTCTTATTTTCTATCCAGGTTGATATGTGCAACTATGTGAACATTAATGGAGTGACAGCCCACCCTCATATTGAGAAAGATGGTACAGTGTATAACATTGGAAACTGCATGGGGAAAGGAGCAACATTGGCCTACAACATTGTCAAGACCCCACCCACACAGAAAGGTTCGTTTTAGCGCTGGCAACAAAAACACACAGGCACTTCAACAGCAGTGACCTCACCTCAAACTCATTTTTTGAAACCAGAATATTCTCGTGAATGATTCAGGGTTAAATGGTGTGACCCTACTAAAAACCTTGAAAAATGTCTTATAAAATTAACATTAACATCATAATTAGGAATTACACTATGAACTTGACGCCTTTTTTATATATCACAAACTTTTTTCTTAGATAAGTCTGATCCCATTGAGAAGTCCAAGGTGGTGGTGCAGTTCCCCAGTGCCGAGAGGTTCAAGCCCTCCTATGTGCACAGGTGTGTGTATGTATGTGTGTGTGTGTGACCCTAGCACACAGGATTTGTGTCAATAATCCATTTTGTGCATGTTGTCATCGAACGTCCATGTTTTGACAATCTCCCTTTAACTAACTCCAGCTTCGGCATGTCGGAAAACTACTTTGTGTTTGTGGAGACCCCCGTGAAAATCAACCTGCTGAAATTCCTGAGTGCTTGGAGCATCCGAGGCTCCAACTACATGGACTGTTTCGAGTCCAATGAGAGCCAAGGAGTAAGAACTCGGAGCAGATCGATATCTTTGAAGATTTTAAGTGTTCTAACCCCCAGTATTATTATTATCTCTGCCCTTGAAATCTCATGATATCTATTCTGATGTATGTTTTATAGACCTTGTTTCACATTGCCAAGAAAGACCCAGGCGAGTACATTGATCTCAAGTTCAAGGGTGCACCCATTGGCATGTTTCATCACATCAACACCTATGAGGACCAAGGCTTCATTGTTGTTGACCTCTGTTCATGGAAAGGGTAAGGGAAAGCTAAATGATAGACTTCTGTTGAAACCTTCCTGTAGGCCTATATCTTATGGAAACCCTAATTTATTTTTTCTTATGATCATAAAAGACAAACTCAAGGTGTTTTTATCTTCAAAAACAGGTTTTTTTAAATTCACCCGTGAAAACAGGGGATTTATTTTTTTCAAAGTCAAGTTTAAAATAGTTTTTCCTGCAAAAACAGGAGAAAAAAAATGTTTTTGTCACCTGTGAAAACAAACCAAAAAAATGATTATGAGAAAAAAAACTAATTCACTTGCCTTACAGAGCTTCTGTAATATCTTTTGTTCGGAGATACTGTTGTTCATTATTTGTTCATTTGTGCAGTTTTGAGTTTGTGTACAACTACCTCTGGTTGGCCAACCTGAGAGCCAACTGGGAAGAGGTGAAAAAGGCGGCCATGATGGCCCCACAGCCAGAAGTCCGCAGATATGTTATTCCCCTGGAGGTCCACAAGGTGAGTCCCCTGTTTCCCTCAAACTGCGAATTGCCACCTATAAATGTAAAGTCCCGTGTTTTGTGCTCACATCTCTTTGCTGACTTGACGTAGGAGGAGCAGGGGAAGAACCTTGTTAGCCTGCCGTACACCACAGCCACAGCGACAATGCACGCTGATGGGATGATCTGGCTGGAGCCGGAGGTGCTGTTCTCTGGGCCTCGCCAAGGTGCAAACACATTTCATTGAGCCATGGTGGATGCATTAATCTTTAATATATACTGGAAATATCGTCATTATGTAACCATTTTAATGTTGTTTTTGTAGCCTTTGAGTTCCCTCAGATCAACTATAAGAGGTTTGGAGGGAAGAACTACACCTATGCCTACGGCCTGGGTCTCAATCATTTCATACCAGACAGGGTAAGTTAGCAAAATACCTCAAATTGTAAGTGAGTTTGTAAAACAAGCTTTTTCCATTACTGGTTTTGTCTTTACTCGTGTGTAGATCTGCAAGTTGAATGTGAAGACCAAGGAGACCTGGGTATGGCAGGAACCAGACTCCTACCCCTCAGAGCCCTTGTTTGTTCAGACTCCTGATGGGGTGGATGAGGATGATGGTATGTCAACAGCAATATAAACAAGATATATTTAATCTGACACCAACTAGGATAGGAATTGTTTTATGGGAATGTGATGCTGTGCCTTCAGGAGTGCTTCTGACCATCGTGGCGGCTCCCGGCTCCCAGAGACCAGGATACCTCCTCATCCTCAACGCCAAGGATCTGTCTGAGGTCGCCAGGGCAGAAGTGGACTGCACCATTCCTGTCACCTTTCATGGGATGTACAAAGCCTAATGAGGCTTTTCTCAGGTTGTCAGTAGTAGTCGGCCATTACTGGGTTATCAATTGCCACTTAAATAATGACTAAATGTATCATCACGCCAAGAAGAAATAAAGCTTTATCAGCCAAAATGGTGGTATGTTCTAATCTGCAGACGACAAATTCAAATATTATGTGAATTTACGTGCCTTTTAGTGTAGTTGCCATGTCCTACCCTGAATGTACTTGGATTTCTAACCCTGAATTGTTAAAGAAAATATGGATCTGTTCACATGCTGTGAATATTTAAATAATAAATTTGACAAAATCAAAACCTGTTTGTTTAGTATTCTTCTGTTACGTGGTAGACTGAGTAAATCATTTGTGAAACTGGATATTTATGGCTTTGTTATTTACTTCTGAATCCCTGCCAGCTAGGCTTGGGGGTTAAAATAAACAAGTAGGTATTTCTCTTGATATATTATAGATCATTTGACACAACAAATAATCCTTCAGTTTAAAATTCTTGAGATATTTGTAGATTTAAAATGTTGCCACACAAAAACATAGACACAAGTGACCTTTCCATGTCTATCCTTATTGTGTAGCTCAATGTTGACTGAATCAGATCTCAGATCTTGCAGCACTGCAAAGCTGATTATCTGCGTCACGGCTTAATCTGAAGAAAGAAAGAAAGAAAGGAAGAAAGGAAGAAAAAAAGAAAGGGCATGTTGCAATTAATAATTCTCTTTAAGTGCATAAAGATGGCAGTGTGGCCCTTGTACACAATGTCATGATCCCACAGTTCATTATATGAAAGATTCAAAGGCATACCTTTGGAATGAATGGATCTTTTGTGGACGGGCTGAGGTGAGAATTTACCTTCTGTTTTTGTAATTCAAATTTCACTCTGTTTGTGCGTCACATATAAAACACTTTACTCACAGGTTTCTTCCTCAGCTGATGCAAGCAGAGGAAACAAAGCATCAAACATTACTAATATGGCTTGGATCAGTCGAACAGAGAGCCCCGATTATGTAGTCACGTTTTCCACCTCACTGCCAGATTTAAGGATTGTATTAATGAAAGGCTCAAAGGGATATTTTGCAATCATGCATTCTGTAATCTCTCATTTTGGTCATCATAGGGGCACAAATCCAGTCCACTTCGTCATCGTAGAGTAGAGCAGAGTGACGGCCTTTTCTTAATTAAACACTAAACAAACTGTTTTTTTCCTGTTTATTTATTTATTTATTTTTTTTTACATGACGGCTTTCTAGCCTTCCAAAAAAAAGAAATGAAACAAGATTACAGGAAATATTAATTTTCTGAATAAACTTAAGCTGAAAAACACAGCAAAGGAAAAGCTTAATGGAAAACTTGATATCTCAGCTGTAACTATCACACCATAAAAGAAGTCTCTCACACAATTCATTTGGAACAGAGGTCTGCCAATCAGGCGTAAACCAGTGTAAAAGTCATATACTTACTGTCCTAAATACACAGCGGATTTTACATAAATGTAACAAATTATGTAAAGGTAGTAGATAAAACGCAGCGAACTGAAAAAAAGACACTATTACCAAACAATGAACTACTGCTACAGTGAATGGAAGTAAAGCAACAAAACATCAATTATAGTGTAATAAAACAAATAATGTGACATATAATAAAGAAAGTGACTAATGTGGATTCAAAATAAACTGTTTCAAGTTTATCTTAAATTTGGTTTCTTTTCTTTCTTTAAAAGGAACAGTTTGACATTTTAGGAAATGCACTTATTCACTTTCTTGCCAAGAGGTGAGAAGATTGATACAGCTGTAATGTCTGTTTAACGCTAGACAAGGGAGGCAATTGGCTTAGCTTCGCATAAAGCAGGGGGAAACTGCTAGCCTGTTTGTGTACAAAGAAAAAACACATCGGCCTACAAGCACCTCTACAGTTACTCAACACGTTATATCTCATGTGTTTTATCTGTACATAAATGGGAGTCACATGCTGGTAGAATTAACTGTGGAACTCCACATAAAACCACAAAACATACTGAGCTTTAGAGGTGCTTGTAGGCATTTGTTTGAGCTGTGGAGCTATGCTAGCCATTTCCCCCCAGCTTAGTCTTTATGCTGAGTTTATCACCTCCTGGCTCCAGCTCCGTACTTAACGCACAGAATCAGACTGGTGTCAGTCTTCTCATTTAACTCCTGGCAACAATATTTCCCAAAATATTGAACGACTCCTTTTAAACCGGAGCAAACCTCTGTTCCTTCACTTACACACAAAACACACAAGAATCAAAAATCAAGCAGAACAAAGCGGAGGCTCACACTACTGAATCACAGATTTCATGAAATACATCTTCAGGCTTACTTCAACATGAACGTGATAAGTGACTACTGACAGCTTTGAAAATATCTTTATCAGCTATATAACTTTTGCATCTCAGGAAATAAAGGAATGAAGTATTGATAGTGCAAGGTTATAAGGTACATATATTAATATATTGTTTAGATACTGTCCTATAAGTAAAGTGCAAATCTCTGGATCAGATGAAACGTGTGTGCAAGCATTTCTAATTTTTGACTGACTGATCCACCTGCCCATGCACAAATGAGCCCTTTACATTGGCTGCCAGCTACTTTACAGACCGTCGGGTGAAAAAATGATGTTACACAACATCTTTTTCCCTTTCAACTCTAAGCGTTTTCTAATCACGTCAAATATTACGTAGCCATGATCTTCTTTAGGTGTACTTTTTGGGCGATTTCTGTTAAGTGTCTACATAATTGTTTTGTAAACCCGACTACCTGGAGAGGAATTTCTTCTTTATTAACGAACACCAACAGTGTAAACTTCAGCTGTGCATTCCCGTATCTCCAAAGTACAGGGCCATTTTAATGTGTGAGCATGTTTAGGAGATCAATATGTTGAGGAACTCTTTGCTTACTGTTGCCACAGAAAACCTTTCTAGCAACACCTCGGAGCATTTTGGTCAATAATCTGTTATGTAATTATCCATTTTAAAGACTAACTGGGAATGAAGGTGAACTGTTGTCAGTCTGTGAGAAACTCCACTGAGTCCGGCTCAAGTGGAAATCCACAGTCATCAAACAGCCCAAACTGCACGCACACACAAACACAAACACACCGCCCCACGTGCTCACAGCCAGCAGCAAAACTGGACGCTGCTTCAGCATGACAAACGGACACAAACACAATCATGCAGGGTCGTCTGGAAACGGTTTCTTACTAATATGTGTTAACTGATGTTTTAAGACCAGCTTATTTAGACCTGGGGGTGTGGAAGGCCAACATTAGGTAAGTATTTTCGGAACTTTTCAAAGTGCAAGAAAACAGCGGACACATTTTTAGCGCCTCTCAATCTATAAGAGGGCAGGTGTTGGTGTGTGATTGGGGTTGGGGGCGTGTCTGATCTAAGCCTGGAGGGGGAGGGGGGAAACATCAGTTGGTCTCGTAGGTGGAGAGCAGGGCAGCATCCACGGGCTCCATGCAGGAGGGGCAGGTGAAGGATCTCATCAGCCAGTCGTCTATACAGTCCATGTGGTAGATGTGCATACACGGCAGGAACCGGATGGGGTCCCCGTATACAAAGTCCAGCATACAGATCACACATCTGAAAACAGATCAAATAAAGAGCTTAAATACATACCAGCATGAAGGCGCTAGTGTGACGTGAGGCTACCAATCATCGAGGACTTAAGTTATAATATCTTTAGATGACTTTCAGGTCTTAAAAGATGCATTACAGGAATGTAGAACTGGAATGATTCATCGATTACTGTAGTTCAGCCATAAAAAGAGTAGCAACAACTCTGATCATCGACTAATCATTTAATGTTTAATCATTAACAACTATTCTCTGGTTCCACCTTCTCAAGTGTGAGAATTTGTTGATTTTCTGTTTTCATATCAATTCAGTGGAAATCATATTATATATGTGATTTTTTTTTATTTCACATCAATTAATCTTAAAGCTCCAGTGTGTAGGATTTAGTGGCAGCTAGTGGTGTAATTGCACATTGCGGCAGTGTGTCTCTCCACTCCACCATCCACGGTGGCCTGCGAAATGCACGAAAGAATGAAAAAAAGTGTCTTAAAATAGTACAAAATTACAATTTCCATGGGCCTGAGGCGACGTCTCCAAATGACCTTTGTTTGACCAACAGCCCAAAACCGATATTAAAAAAACACATCCTAATATTTAGCAATAATAATAAGCCAATGTTAGCATCTCTGCTTGATAACTGACTTTCAAGTCAAGACAATTTTATTTATATAGCCCCCCCCAACAAAAGATATCACTAATTTGCTTTATATGGTTTTAGATGTACAATGTATGACACCCTCAATTCAGACAATTATCAAAATTGTTGGTTAATTTAGAAAATTGATGAATCCAGTTATATCTTCAGCACAAGTCAAATGAAACAATTACAGATTCACTTGCATTATATAACTATATTCCTAATGACTTTTCCCCCCCATGGATCATATCATCCATACTTATTTGAGACTAAACATTTGTCACATTTAAAAAAGTGCCATATTACGGATACAGGTGATACAGATCAGTTAAGATCGCTCAGCTCTGGTGACCTGCAACCTTTCCCTCTGTGTAAACACCACATGCAAAAATGCTCACTCTCTGATCTTCTTCTCCGAGCCGTCTTGCCCTCCATCATAGACACCCTTAGGGAGGTGCTGGATGAGGCCGATGCGCTGAGCTATGCGGATCTGTTCCTCCTCTGTCAGCTGGGTGGCCAGACGGGCCTGACTAGGCGTGGGATGGTACATGGGCATGTGAGCCTGCTCCTGGTAGCAGACAAAGAAACACCAAAATGTTACACACACAAAAAAATCCTCTTATGTCAGCTCACTTTGTCTACACAAAGTGGTCCGACTGGTCGGGCTGTGTGCAGGAATAAAGTGGGAAATAAAGCAGCTGTCTGGTGTGTTAGTGAGAATACCTCTAAAAACCAGTTTGTTTACTCAGTTACACTGTTGACTACTGCACTGGTGGCAGACTTATGAACAGGCCACACATGAAACAGGGGGTTACAGGCGTAGGACCTACTGTGTTTTAACATTTACGCCTTTAACTGGGATTATAATTGTGAATAAACACCCTGGAAGTTTAGTGTTAGCAGTCTTTCACCTGGTACGGCGGCGGCGGCTCCAGGTCCGGATCTGTCCCGTCACCGAAACTCGCCCTGTCTGACTGGGATTCATGGAGCAAAGAGATGTCGTCTGATGTCGGAGACTTGAGACAGTTGCCCATGTCTTCGTGTCTCCAGTCCTAACCCTGCCCGACGTTTAAAAAACCCGATGTTTGTCGCTAAAGTTGCTCTCGGTTGCTAATGTTAGTTTTGTCTTTCTAATACCCCCACAAACCTTTTAATCGTGCAGTTTAATCACTCACTACCAGAGACACCACGCACCGTCATTATACGACACACACAGAGGTTACAGCAGAGCGTCCACACTAGTTTCTCTTCATGTTTACACGGACCAACCTGGAAAACAAAACAAAGAACTCCCTGCTAACGACAGCTAGCAGCCGAGCTAGCTACTCTTTCGCTAGCCAGCTGGGCGACTTCCTTCCTAAGTATCGCTCATTCCTCTGGAGGAGTCACCGTTTCTGCCAAATGTCTACTTCAGCAGCAACCGTGGCTGTGACACTGAGTGGTGTGAGTGTCGGGCTGCAGCGACATTTCCGCCGTTTAACTTCGCGAGTAACATTAAACACTTTACTTCCTTGCTAGCTTTTTCTTCAACGGGAGGACATGTTAATCGTCCGTTGGATATGACGTGCAGGTGTAATTCTGCGCGGTGATTGGATGGTTTTGGTTTTTACGTCACTCCGAGAGAGCGTCAAAGTCCCGCCCCTTTCAATGACAAACCAACTACATAAAAACAAGTGTAAAAGAAGAATGACAGTGTGATAATGACTGTTTATTGATACGTTAATTCACTGATGAATTAACAAATAGGTATTTGAAATGATAAAATGTATGTAAAAATGGGTTACATGGTAACAAAGTTATTGAAGATATACAGTAAATTGGAATACGACTTGGTTATTACCACACAAAAGTATATTCAAGATGGGTTGAGACGTGCATTTAAAAATCCTGCACAGCATACATATCCCCTACTATATTTACTTTTTTTTTTTATTTAATGCTATTTGGAAAAAGGATTAATGCTATTTGGAAAAAGGAGCCAGAATCTCTCACTTACCTTTTCTTTAGTTGTATTTTTATTACAAGTTTTATCTTTTAAAAATGTTATACTGTGTTTTGAATGTAATACCTGTAGATTACCTTGTATGTGGCTCTATTATATATTTAATTATATGTCTTTCATTTATTGAAACTACTATATTTTTCCTTTTCTTTACAGTCGAGTGACTAACTGCCCTGGGAATCAGTTACATCAAACAAAAAATCCCGAGAAGATGTGGTTTGTTGTTTTTGTAAATTAAATGTGTCTGTTCAAGAGGATATTTTCATTGCAATGACCCAAATATTTTCTGTAAATGTTACTATATTGATTTATAAATGTTTTTCTAAACAAATGTTAAATTTAGAGAAGAATACATGTCTGCTATTTCCTTTGAGATGTTACAGTTTTTGCTAAACGCTGCTAAATTACATTAAATGCCCTGCACACCCACACAGCTGTTTTCACTTATTCTTGCTGATCTGGCTGGCTCGCTTTCACACTGTCGCGTCTCACTGGGACCCTTGAACAGAATGGAAACCATCGTTAATGTTATTAGTAACACCTGTGCTTTTCTTACTATGACAAGTCAAATCGTCTGCTGGGAAAAAGGCCACAGTCTGTACGCTCCCACACAGTTATAGAGGTCTAATCAGACACAATAAGGGAAAACACCTCTGTGGGTGAACCGTTGGTGTGAAGGGCCTTTAATAAGTAAATGTCTACACAATTATATTTTACAGTTGTATGATTTTAAATTCTTTTGGGTTCTTTTCTTGCTCTTTAATGTTATTTTTCTTTTCAAATAAGCTGTAGTACCTTCGAACTCTTTTGTTTCACTCTATTGATAAAAACCCCTTTCCAAGACACTCTCTGCATGCACCAATATAGTATTACTACTTAATGTATAATATATAGAAAAAATGTGCCAGGTAATCAGTAAGATAAAGAGAGACTATCTTCAAAACCCATCATCAGACAGAGACTTGTGTTAACAACGTATAAACACAATATGCCACCATGACACAAGTGTGATCAATGTTAACAACCAATAAGTTCAGTAAATCAAGAAAATACATTAAAAAACAACAAACAACACAAACTGTGCAAATGCATTTAGCCTTCAAGGTCTCACTGAGGCTCCAGGCTCTATATAAAAAAGATATCCAATAACAGTGGCAACTTGAGGACACCTTTATTTGTATATACAGCTATTGTACACATAAAAACCCACAAAGTATTTGCATTCCAGAAACTTATGATACAAATCTCCATGTTTTTGGTTAAGTGAGTTTCACAGAATTGGCCTTCTTCAGGCAAATAAAACAAAAACACAAACCTTAAAATGAAAATTTCCAAAGATTCCTTTACCTTTAAAGCTCATCAGCTGATACTGTTTATTATCTTTTACTCTAAATGTTTACAAACAGCATAATTTCTCTGTACATTATTAGTAAGTAATAGAGTAATGTTAATTTGTGAAGCAAATGTGTCATGGTGTGTCTACAGTGTTTCTACAGTCATCGTCTGCAACGGTTCGTACAATATTCACAAGGAAGAAAAAGGTGAAAATAGATGAAAGATCATTTTGTTTTCTTATCAGTTCATGGTGAAATTACACACCCAACAATTCTCAAAATCAAAAGTTAAATATAACTGTTGGACAATTCTCATTTAAAGGGTGTAGACTGGTAAAAAATAAGAAGGCTGTTTTGACTGTTTTGTCTTAATTAAGAAATTTTAAAGGTTTGGAGGCATGATTTAACAATAACGCAGGGTGAAATAACAAATAAGCATCTTTTTCTATATTATTCTATTACTGTATTCGTATCTCACAACTTATTATGTTCCACACCAAAAAGAAAAATGACGGGGAAAATCAGGCAGTTTTTCCCCCTGCATTCATTCATACTGTAAAAAAATCCAGCATTATTGAGTGTTACTTATTAGTATCCACATTGTCTGGTAAAGTATCAGATCGCCTCTTCGTGATGGCTTCCTGTATTGATCTGGTCTAATAAATGGCAATGGTGTGATGATCACAATGTATTTACAAAACAATTAGTCTATAAGAAAATGTAGTTACATATTCACACACCCCACAGATAAATACTGTTAAGAGCAACACTGAATCATTTAGAAACATCTTCAGAAATGAAAATACCTATCGACACAAATGACATAATTTGATCCATTCATTTATTTTCTGCATCCCGCAACTATTTGAGATGTATTATTACTCTCTATCATCAAGTACAAGTCAGGAAATAGACCTTATTTATTGTCAGTGTTCTGTGTGAATTAGCAACTACAGTTTCAGGAAGTATTGTTCTTTTTTCGATTTGGGTTCACATTTTACCAAACATCCAGAGGGCTCACGGACTTGAAGCACTGATGCAAAAAGAGTCAAAATGACTTTGACTCTGCACACTGTCCTACAAAGTCCAAACACCTCTCTGGGATTCCCCCTCCTGCCTCACGCTGTGCCTCCTGTCCCTAGCACCTGTCGTCCTCCTCTGTGTCACTGAGAGGATCACAGCCTGCAACAGAGGCTGTCTGCGCCAGGCGCTTCCGAAAATGTCCGTTGGGGACCTGCCAGCCAGTCCGCAAGCGCGGGCGGGCAGAGCTGATGGTGTTTGAGCGTCCCAGGCTGCAGGCCACAGCCGCCTCGAAGGTCAACGTCTCCATTGGACCGGAGGGGTCTGGGCTGTGGTCGTCCTCTTGGGAGGCCAGGAACGGCTCTGAGGGGTAGCGTCGAGGTGGGGACGGGTGTCGGCCCGCCTCGCTCCCCCTTTCGCCTGCAACCCCCTCTTGGGTCTCCCAGGTGGGCTTGCCCCGCCTCATGGTGTCTGGGCTGCCTTGTTCATCCTCGTCTTCGCCGACGGAGGGGTGTGTGCGACACACGAGTGGGGAGTAGGAGATGTGGGGGCGAGAGTGGGTCGGGGTCTGTGATGAAGGTCGTTGGCCGCTGGGGGTGCTGGACTCTGAGGTGGAGGGCACCGGACTATCCGAGCTGTTGCCCTGGAGACGAGAATAAACAAGAAATTATACAAACAGTCACTTTATTGTCTTTTCCAGATCATCTGGCAGCTTAAACAAAAATTAAAGGGGCATTCCAGCAATTTAACGTCATATTTCCACAAAGTTGTGAGGCTTGACGCATTAAAAAGAGAGATCAAACTGCCAGCTAAGGTTTTAAACTCCTGCCCTCAGTTTATAACACAAGCTCTCTGTTATAAAGGTCCAGACACAAGCCGAGATGACAAGCCTGATGAACTTCAAGTGTAAATGAGAGGAGTGCACCATTAATTTATCTCTAAACTGACAATATTAAGGTTAAATATGAAAATTAAATATAAAGTTTTATATGTATTAGCTAGACAAACAAGATGCAGCCAATCCCCCCCCCCCCCC